GACTGTAATGCTATTTATTTTTTTGACCGTTTTGTAGAGCGTTCGTCGAGCGTAGGACGCGCTACAAAACGGTCAGGTGTGAACAAGGCCTAACTGTTCACTCAGAATAGTAAACAATCAGTCAGTGCTGCGGGGCTGTGTGCTCTACCTGCCGATGTTGTGTATGTTTGCTAGCAGGTTACAGATCTTTCGCACAGTTCTGCAGCACTGATTGACAATTTACTGTTGAATTTGTGAATAAACAGTCAGTGCTGTGCGGCTGTACACCATAAGAATGTTAGAGAGAGAGGCAATGACTTCAGTGCTGTGCTGTAGCTCCCCTCATAGGAGCACCCATAAATTGAGCTTCTACCTGGGGTGGAATAGCACAGCACAAACAGAAGTAAAATGTGCATTTAATACACAAGGGGTTTACAGATTGGGACAGGACCCAGTGCTCCATGCACACACTATTACAAGACCATAAGTAGATAAGTTTGGACAACAATTAGCCTGTTGATGTTGCTGGAGAGGCCTGAAGCTGTGTGCTCTATATCCCTATAGATCAGCCTTTCTTAACCAGGATTCCTCCAGAGGTTGTTACAGATTCCTTGAGAAGTGATCTCAAGGAAAGACGCGGTCACGTCAAGTAAATAGACACCAAACATGTCAAGCTTTAAAATTGCGTGCGCCCGCGAACTCTCAAAAACTACCATACCCCAAATTGGTCATAGGCGACGCTTTAAAAGCTTTTACAGCTCATCAGTTTAAGTGTTATCGGTGATTGATGGCCCTAAAATTATTGCTCTCACTGCGACGTTCGCGGTGATATGCAACATGTGTGGCGTAATGGATGCACGTAAATCCGCACGTAGGCGCACTCGACGCATGTTTGCATGTGTATGTGGGGGGCGGGGACTTAAAAACATTTTTTTATTACCTTTTATAGCTGACTTTTAATTTTGTAATATTTTTTTTACTAATTCTTTTAAACCTTTTTTTTTTCACTTAGCTTTATTGCTATCACATAGGGGACTAACCAGCCCCCTTTGTGATAGCCAATTTTCAGTGTCAGGTCCTCTTTATGGAGACATCAGGGGTCTTCTAGACCCCTAATGTCACCTAGGGACCCCCAGAGAAGCTGATGAAGCAAACACCTGCTTCACCAGCTTCTCTCCAGTTTCTGTACTGGAGAGTGACAGAGGAATGCGGAAGTGATGTAATACACATCACTTCCTGCATTCCAAAGAAGAGGAGGAGATCAAACGGAGCTTGTATACTGAGCTCCGGCCGCAGAGCTGCTGTGCTGGTCCCGAGCTCGCATCGGGCACAGCAGAGCTTGGGATCGCCAGCAGCATCTGCAACGGAGGGGGGGGCGCACACCCGCACACATATTACAAGCGATCGGGCGTCTCTACAGATGCCCGAGCGCTTGTATGTAAATAGCCATCGCTGGCTGTTTACATTCCAGGCTGATCACCCGCTCGTGCCTGCCGCCTAGCGGTGGGCAGGAGCGGGGCGGGATGGGACGTTTAAAAACGCCTCCCCCGCATTCAAGAAGCCGCTTGTCTGGCCATTTAATTACAACGGCCGGACAGCAGGTGGTTAAAAAGACTTATAATTGATACCTACCAATTCACACAAACCGCTTAGTATACACCTTATTGGGATTTTTTCCCAAAAACATTTAGCAGAATAAAGTTTGGCCTAACTTTAGGAAGAAAATTGATTTTATTTGATATTTTGTGTAACAAAAAGTAGAAAATATAATTTTTTATTTATATAAATTTTTTTTTTAAAACAGCAGCAATTAAATAGCACCAAACGAAAGCTCTATTTGTGTAATAGAGGCGCCCGGGGGCCAGTCTTTCATTAGCACACACAAATCAATCCATAGTTCAATGCTCAAGACCCTTGGTTCTCAACTGGTGGGTCGCAACCCAAAAGTGGGTCGCGACCCTGTGTTCAGTGGGTCCCCGTGTGCCTTCCATCAGCCTCCCCCTAGCGCAGCACTGTCAGTTCTTGCGACCAGCAGCTATTTAAAAAATGCTGCCCAGTGCCGAATGTCAGCTTGAGGTAGGGTGGACTCCATCAATATGTGCATTGCTTACAACTCCCTCGCATGTCCTGTAGAGGTGCCTGGACCGGTGTGATGTAACATACTGGCTATCGGCACCTTTACAGGTTGTGCAAGGGAGAAGAACAAGCACTGCACATATGGATGGAGCTCCATCACAGTACAGCAGCCCACACCAGAACCCAGGATAAGGATCCACTCCAGTTCTCATAATGACTGGGTGGATCTTAAAAAAATATATATTTTTTTATTTTTTGGTGTGTGTATGTGTGTGTGTGTGTGTGTGAGATTGTGTCTGTGTTTTCTGAGGGCCTATTCACACTAGTACAGTGCTTTAATCGCACAGTAACGTGCGATTAACGCACTGTACTTCACAATCACATCTACAATGCGTTTTGGTGTGAGAGGTACATTGCATTGCCATTCATTTGAATGGCACCACAAATGCACCTGCCACCCACAGTTATATTTCCCACATCGGAACCCGCAGTACCGCAATGCCGTGCGTTCCATTGCAGTGCAACTTGGGTCACGACTTAATGACCAAGGACAAATGTGGGTCCTGAGGTTACACAGGTTGAGAACCACTGCTCTAGACCAACTGTTCCCTTGCCTATGTTTTCCCCTCCTGATCCACCTTCAAATAACCTCATGCTCCAGTGCTGCTTTGTTAATTTAGGCGCCGCTTCTATTTTCCAGGCGGTACACCTTCTAATCTGTCATGGAGGAGAGACTTGAGTGATTTCAAGCCTACACTCCGTGGTGGTTCAGAAGCGGGTCTAAAGCCACTAATCCACCATGGATGCCCACCACATAGCAATACATTATGCAGCAATGCAGAATACCACTAGCTATAGAAGACAACAAATCCCAGCAATACATTATATAGCAACACAGAATAATATGAAGCTACATACTCTGTGTTGCTCCAGGGTGGTGGGCTGTGCGGAGTTTCAGGTGGACTGTGCAGAGTTAGAGGTGGGCTGAACAGAGTCTCAGGTGGGCTGTGCAGAGTCTCTTGTGGAGTCTCAGGTGGGCTGTGCGGAGGTCTCAGGTGGGCTGTGCGGAAGTCTCAGGTGGGCTGTGCATGGGTCTCTGGTGGGCTGTGCGGGGTCTCTGGTGGGCTGTGCTGAGTCTCTGGTGGGCTGTGCTGAGTCTCGGTTGGGCTGTGCTGAGTCTCGGGTGGGCTGTGCTGAGTCTCGAGTGGGCTGTGCTGAGTCTCGAGTGGGCTGTGCTGAGTCTCAGGTGGCCTGGTGGGGTCTCTGGTGGCCTGGTGGGGTCTCTGGTGGCCTGTGGCGTCTCTGGAGGGCTGTGCGGGGTCTCTGGTGGCCTGGTGGGGTTTCAAGTTGGGCTCTGCGGATTATTAATAACGTTTTCGTTTTATATTACTTTTTTCAGGTTTTTTTTCCATTTTAACTTCTTTTATTATTTTCTACTTTTTTTCACTTAACTTTATTGCTATCACACAGGGACTAACAATCCCCTGTGTGATAGCATTCAGAAGTGACAGGTTCTCTTTGTGAGCCTGCTCTCCAGTACAGACCCAGGACTTAAAAAAGCACTAAACTGGGGACATAGGGAACGCACTGGATTCGGGAAAAAGGGAAAGCACTGGACTCTGGACTTTGCAACACAGTGGACTTAGGACTAAAACCAGAAGTATACTCACAGATAATACAAGCCC